ACGCAGGATGGGTGGATCCGGCGGTGTTCCTACCACAAACGGAGTAGCGATGATGAAGGTGGGGGAGTGTCTATTTAGAAAGGGGTAGGGTCGGGGAGAAGAGCGAGGGGAATCTAATTCCAGCGAGGTGGAGACGTGGTGGGGCTATCTAGGAAATGAGCTAGCAAAGGAAGTTGGGCAAGATGGGAGTGAGGAGGAAGGATATAAAATTTGGTGATAGTAATGGTAGGGGTAGAGGTGTATGGGGAGATGGTTGTCCTACGTTAGTATTATGGGGAGGGTGCTCTCAATGTTGTCGCCTCCTAGAAAATATGGGTTTATTTTATTGGTATATGGATGATAAGGGTGGAAATAAAGTGTCAGAGAACTTCTAGCGATCTTGAAGTTTTACGAGACATCTCTATTATATTCTAACAAAAATAATTCCTATGGAAGACCTTTAATTTCGTCTTGAGCCCAGTCCATTCAACAAATATGGTGTATACAACCTGCCAAAAGTAACACAAAACATCATGTGGCAAGACATATAAAAGGCATGGGATAATAACAAGATGAATCATGATGAAATAGAAACATAGTCTCAACATAGAGATGGAAACATCACCATGGAGCATAGCTCTAAGGACACCATGGCGTGACACGGTAGAGGTCCCAATCTATGACAAATTGAACTCAAGAGTGGATGTAGGGTGTCAAGAACCCGTGTGATGCAATTTTCACAGATGAGCACAAGGAAACTGTGGTTCAACAAAAGAGAGGGCTCAATCCATGACAAATCAAAGTCAAGGTTGGAAGTATGGTGTCAAGGATCTCACATTGATCTTAAAATGCTAGAATAACAGTATAACACCAGTGGCAGGTGCTTAGAGTGCTCATTTCGTTGTTCATCAAATATTTGTCCTATTTTCTTCTTCCTACTTTCTTCTTCCTTTTCTTTTCTCCTCCTCCCCCTTCTCTCTTACCACAATGGTGTCCATGCACAGTGTTACCATTCTACTATTCAAAAAAGGGAAGGAAATTCGTAATGGAAATCTCAGCATGTGGCCATGCAACATCACAAATGACACAAATTGCCTTTCACAAAAATAAAAAAAAATCACACAAAGCACAAAGAAAAATATGAACTCACATGAAGGGCGTAAGAAATTCCTAAGTGGATCAGGATCAAGTAAAATAAATTGAAGGCTAGTTGAATCTTGAACCTTGGAGCTAAAGGTGTCAATCTTGAATCGAGATTGGGCAGGATTGACTTAGGATTATTGCCCGAGACCATCCAATGATGATGAGCACCTGTTGTTCTTGATGAGGAAGAGGAGGTGGCAGCCTTGAAGGGAATTCGGCGCCGTCATCGGTCGACCGTTGACGTGAGTCTCGCAATTGTCTTGGGCCTCGCGATTAGTAGTCCACACCCTTTTAACTTGACTGGTCTCTCCTCTTGACTTGGTCTAGGTAACAGAGTAAGCCTTGGCCCATTATTCCAAACCGTTGGCCCGAGATCACTTTTTCAACAATCAGTTCATTTTTTTCCTAGAGCTGCAAAGAAATCTATTCAATTTGCAATCCATCTGATGCTTGTACTTGTACATAATCTAGTTCAGTAATTCACTTGGAAATTTCTAGGATAACGAGTGCGCTATATTCTCTACGTACTTTCTAGTAGTAGTACATCCAGCACAAAGACGTGATGGCGGCCCGAGCGCTAGATATCGTGCAGCGTGGGTTCCCCCTTTTCTGTTCTCTCTCGGCACGCAGCGACGCACCTTCGTTGTCCGTCCTGCACGCATGCATCCACCTGGACCCGAACCCGCCGCTGTAGCTAGCCGCCGACAATATGCATGCAACCTCCAAGCGGCGGCGAGTGGCGCCGCGCCGCAGACGACGCTGACGACAAGCGGCGCGGCGGCGGAAAGAGGAGCATATTATTATATACTAGTGAGATTCATATAGAATTTGTGAATTCTACATTTTCCACTACCACAACAGAGGTGCAAATTAAATGTTAGTTTAAGTAAATGTTATCTACTTACTGCTTGAAAAGTAGTGATGTTATTTGCTGCTGATGAGCTGCTGCTGCTGCTGCGGCTGTATAGTTAGATCATGTATCTTTCCGAATTGTTTCAAATGAAAGTCTTATGTATCTTATAATCCGAGTTTTTCAACTTATTTTTTTAAATGCAACAAATCAGCCGAACAGTATATATATGCAGCTTCATCTTATGGCTACTGCTGTGTTTTACTGGAATTTGAAGTGCTGACCACTCCAATCAACTTGGAGGATATTGGAGAGAAGATTGCCATGGTCATCGTGTCGCAGATCATCGACCCAAAAGGCGAGTTTCATTGTCCAAATAAACAATAATGATGAATTGTCCTATGCTGCTGCTTGACAAGGGTTTCAAGCTGGGTGTCTAGCTGTTTGTGTGAGTTTATTTTTGGAGCTATATATTTATACTGTGAATCTTTGATCTGTGATGTCTGTGTGATGCAAAGCACAGTGTACTTTTGATCTTATTAAGTGAATTTGATCTGTGTAATGTCATTTGTGTGAGATGCTGATGTATAATTAATTGATGTCATTTTGATATGTGCTAGCTGTGGGCTATAGCCTGTAGCTTGATCCTTACTGCAGACGCGAGCAGGCAACAGACGCGTCTGTAGGAAAAAAACCGTACAGACTCGTGGCTCTTTACGCTCGTCTGTAGCTCTTTTATTACTGCAGACCGGTGATTGTACACACGCGTTTGTAGTAGGTTAAATAGTATAGACCCGTAGTCCCGAATGCGCGTCTATAGGTTGATTTATACTGCAGACGCTTACGATTGATACGCGTCTGTTATAGAGCCAACTTCAGACGCGCCATCGTTGAAGGCGTCGCTGGTAAATTTTACTGCAGGCACGTTTTTCAAGCTTGTCATAGACGCTTGTCAGCTACAAACGTCTGTATGTAACTCTTGTTACAGACGTGCTTCTAAAACGTGCGTCGGTGGTATGTTCTAGTTACAGTGTAATAAGATCTTGCTGTTTGTGATGACTCTTTTTTACGTAGTTGTGGTAAACGACGATGGACCCGGCCGTGGACACGAGGAAGACGCCGAAGTTGGCGATCAGCTGGGGGCGGATTCGGTGGCGATGAGCAGCAGCACGGCGCCGGTTGACGAGCTCGATGGCGTGTCGGGGCAAGCCGGCGGGCATGTGCCGGTCGACTGCCGCCGCGGGGTTCGCCATACCGGCAACTCGGGAGAGACAGACGACAGAGCGCGCTGATGGACTGGAGGATCCTGGAGGTGTCGCACACTGTCGCTGTGTCGTGTGTCCGATCGAGGGGCAGTAGCGACAGCCGTATATATATATAGCATGTGTGGCCGTTAGCCCATATATAGTGACGGGCAGGACTGTACTTTTCGCACTTTTCATCGAAATCGGGCTCTTAACGATTTTCAGCTCACCGATTTAATTGTATATATATTATTAATACCAGTGGAAATGCACGTGCGACACGCACGTGTCGGTATAAAAGTATTTGTAAGGGTGAAATGTATCCTATGTAATTACCACGTAAATCTTAGTATTTTTTAGAGCCACAATGAATGATTAATTTCATCTTACTATGCAAATGACAATATTCGCAACAATGATTTTTAGGATAATTCATAGAGGTCATAGTTCTAAGGATATTCTACAAATATTTTGTCACAAAATTTATGCAGAAATTCGATGGAAACAATCTCCATTCTTCGAGTATATGTCCTTAAATGTACCCATGTTCGAGTGCATTTGTGTTGAAACCAGTTAAATTATTCAGTACATGCACTAATAAATGAAACAACTAAAACAAAGCCATTTCAATTAAAATTAAAATTGGTGTCAATGAACCATTTAAAATGGAGCAGAAATAACAGTACATTTTACCATAGATCTGGCACCAGTTCTAAAGCACAGGATACAAGAGTTGTTTACAGAGGAAATATCTTTGTGTTCTAACTTATTGTGTCAGTTTTGTTAAAAAAAGTCACCACAACATCAACCATTAATATTTGCACATTATTTGTGCTCCTCGGCCGAGCAATAAATATCATGCAGCCAGTGCTCTGGTAATAACTAATATTAATACAATAGAGTTCTATATCCCATGAAAGCTAAAGTTAATCTTAGTATTTATTTATGCAGCCTAAGAAAATAGTGTACTGGAAACTTATAGCTGCCTTGAGTTTATAAAATATTAAGGAATATCATCAAGTCTATATTGCATCCTGCAGATTTGCAACATAAATATATAGCTTGGCAAAGTATCTCTTCATTATTTCACTAATTTGATACGTAGATATCCAAGTTATGAAAGAAAAAAGAGGCAATGCATGAATTAAAAAAGTTGATAGAAAAGCACGGCACAAGATGGAGAGAATCTGTGTGATATTCGTGAGCATTGAGAGATTAGCATGCTCATTAAGCCGCAACAATAAGGGGAATAACCCATCATGGCTAAGCACCGGATCAACACACTTTCGGGAGTCACCTACCTAAAGTCTATACAGCCTGCAAAACTAACAAAAATGAAAAGAAAATCCCAAGCATCACTCTGTACAAGTCTCATAAGACAATTGTGTATCTACAACTCAAACATGGATAGCATTTTCAGTTATGTCATGCATACAACTATCAGTTTAAAGAGTCAAGAAAGCATAGACGATGGTTATGTAGAACACATGTACAGCGACCAAACAAACAACTCACCTCTGTCGAAGTTTTGTCAATTTCCCCAGCTCGTCAGGTATTGTGCCGAGAATTGGAAATCTCTTGCATTGTGCTCATAGATTCTTGTGCAAACAATTAATAAATATAGAGGAAACTGATAAATATAATTGTGCTAAATCAATCAAATTCAAATAGTTAACAGATGCAGGGGGCATTGAAGTTCACCTTCCTGCTGCCGCTCGGTGTTAGACGATGCGTCGCGAATGATGGATCGTTCATGGCACATACGGCGAGGCTTTGGGCTGGCCTTATCCAGGGATCCTACTGCAGGTGAAGAAGGAATCCAGTAGAGTTCTGGAACCAACAAAGGCTGGAACTGTTGTTGGCGAGGGCTTGCTACCTTCCTGCTGCACTGCACAAACACAAGAGACAAGTACACATTTCAGAACATCAGTGCAAACCAAGATGTCTCGATGATGGCAATGTTATCGGCAGGAATGTATGAAGATTCAATAAGAATTGGTATGAACCCTGCAACATATGATTTCTTGTTGCTTTAAGGTAGTTTTGAAGGATTCTTTATTAAGCAAAATGCAAACATGTGAAGCGGAATTTACCACCTGCCCTGTTTTTGACCTTTGGTGGGTAACCATCAGTGATCAGTAAGATTGCAAAAGAGAATCAGAGTTGTAAATTTTGAGTTCAGGAAGCTTTAGATGTTTAACTACGCAGAAATATATCTCACGGAATGTAACCTCCGGTAACACAATGCAATTAGAAGCAGGAGGTAACACTTAAATGCAGTTAAAAGTAGGAATATTTTTCACAGAACATAAACTCTAGTGACACAGTCACACAGATGCTAGTGCGTAAATTTGCCACTGCGAAGCGTAAACTTTTCAGAATTTTTCTGACAAAGAAAAGGACCATCTACACCGCTGTACAGAACATTTTCAGGCAGAGACGGCAATGCAGAGTTCAGACGGAGGCACGGAGCTGTTGGGGGTGCAGTTGACTCACTCGGGTCGTTGTTGGAGAGCGCGGCGGTGCCTGAGAAGACGCAGGCCTGCGGGTTCTGGTTGTTGCGGTTGTTGCGCTGGTAGAAGCTGTTGACGGCGTAGGAGCAGTGGGCCTTGATGGTGTCTGGCGCGAAGCAGGCGCCGTTCTGCAGGATGGGCTTGCAGTCGGCGCCGCCGCCGCACGCGTAGTCCAGCGTATTCTGCAGCGCGCGTCCGAGCGGCACACGCACCACGCACCGTTTTGCGGTTGCAGGCACAGCCACAGGGCGTCCAGCGCGTCCTCGTCCGTGGCGGCAGGCGCGTCCGGCGGCGTCCGTCGTCCTCATCCGGCCGGGCGGCGCGCGGGCCTGAGTTTCCGGTTCGAGCGGCACATGCACCACGCACCGTTTTGCGGTTCCAGGCACAGCCACAGGGCGTCCAGCGCGTCCGGCGGCGTCCGTCGTCCTCGTCCGGCCGGGCGGCGTGCGGGACTGAGTTTCCGGTCCGAGCGTCACACGCGCCACGCACCGTCTTGCGGTTCCAGACACAGCCACAGGGCATCCAGCGTCCTCGTCCGTGCCGGCAGGCGCGTCCGGCGGCGTCGGTTGTCCTCGTCCGGTTGGGAGGGGCAACGCAAGATGGGTCGTAGGGAGAGGAAATCAGAGCAGAGGGAGAGGAGCGTGGAAACCGCCCAGCGGAGAGAGAAGAGGTGAAGGCGGCGACGGTACAAGATCGAGGAGACGGAATCGCAGATCCGAAGCGGGAAGGAGAGAAAGGTTTCGGTGCGGGTACAGGCGGGCAGGTAGGCTCGCGTGGGTGAAAAAAAACGCGAAGGAGTCATCCTCCCCACGCCTGTTTCGTATGTTCCTGCTCTGTTTCTCTCGTGGGTCCACCTGTCAATCTAAGATAGTTAGAAAGATTTTCCGGTAACAATAGATTTCTAATTCGTTCGCTCCTTTATAGATAGACATATGCACGCGAGCAGGCCTACGAGCGAGAGAAACTCACACACTGCCGGAACTTTGCCCTCGTAGCTTTCTGCACCGAACAAGAGTCATCCGTGCAGTCCAGCTGGATGCATTGCATGCACGCACTGGGGGACAGTAGTGTGTGTCCCTCTCTATATATCTATCTATCTATATCTATCTAGTTATGCATCATTGCATCTATCCAAGTACCCGTCCATAATTGTGGTGCTAACTGCTAAGCTACATGCACGCTGAAAGCTCCGTGTGGTGCACGTGTACACCTTCTACTTCTAGAAAAAAAAAAGAGATGAAAAAGGAGACGAGAATACGCGGCAGGGCTAACCGGCTAACTGGCTAAGGTTTTCAGAATTCACACCGGTTCTTTCTTTTTTCATCAAGATAAAAGAGAAAAAGAACAAGAACAAGAGAAGGAGGAGGAAGCAAGAATTCAGACCGGCCGGGCCGGATAAGAAGAGAATATCAGGAGTGCGAGATGCAGCACTGCAACAGTAGATTCCTGTTCCGGCGCCATCGCGTATCGGCATCGAATGGCCCGACAGTACTCGGTTGCTTTGGAACTTGGGATAAAGCAGCAGCAGCAGCAGCAAAACTGTTCGTAGCTTTGCCGTGACTTGTATTATCAGCAGGTGGCGTGACGATAGAAGGCAGAAGGTGGGGGGCGCGGAGACGGTGACGAGGTGACTGCAACTGCAACGTATCATTTCGTTTCTAGGCCTTGTTTAATAATTGTTCAATCGTTGACTAATTTTTTTATCACTTAAAATGTTAGATCCGCATTAAATGTGTAACTAAATAATAACAATTAGTTTTGGTTGAAATCACGAGATGAATCATTTAAGCTTAGTTGGTCGCGATTGGATGATATTTAATGTGATAGAAATCTTACTTTTTATCGGATTGAAAAAATTTGAATTCTGGGTAACTAAACGTGGGCTTGGATTTATCATTTGTATTATCAGCAGGTGGCGTGACGATAGAAGGCAGAAGGTGGGGGGCGCGGAGACGGTGACGAGGTGACTGCAACTGCAGGGTACATCTACTCTACTCCCTCGGTCCAGAAAAAAAAAACGCAATTCGAAGGGAGAACCTGCTGGAATGACCTTCTTATCTGAATCTGAGCAGCATAGTAGCTGGATAGATGATGGGCTCACCTGACATCCTTCTTTCGACTTGTGTAATGCTTTGTCATAGGAGGATCTTGAAGGTCGCTTTCTTGGATAATACATACATACATACATACATACATACATACATACATACATACATACATACATACATACATACATACATGCATACATACATACAACTAAGTAGTTATGCAGTGCAAGAAACGGATGAGACAGACAGGGTTTGGTTAAAGTGTTAAACAAAGAGATGTCAGACCGAAGCGCGTTAAGTTTGAACGCACAGTATATATATACTTCCGTTCAGAATTCAGAGTCCTGAAAACTGCAAAGGCCACAGGGCAACTCTCCTCTGCACTCTGGATTTTCTAGTACTCTAAATACGGAGTACCACCTTGCAAGGCATGCAGCCTACATGACTGGACTTGGTCACTGACTGACTTACCAAGAAGAAAAAGTCTTCACCCAGCCATTCTTTTACATGACTAAAGTGCAAGTATAGTCTATTATAATAAGCTCAAATCAACACTAATCTCTTCGCCGTCAGGACAAGGCCTCGTTGATGGGATCTCATGAAAGATACGCATGCGGTAGAAGAAAAGAGACCCGACTAGGATTAGGTGATTAGGTCGTAGGCGCGTCTTACACAAAACTCTCGTCTTCTTACATACTACCAATATTCAATCTGGATCTTTCAAAAGAAAAAAAGGAAAAAAAAAGGAGACCATTTAGTAGGATAGGTGTTTGCAGGGCCGAGATGATCTTCCCTCGCAAAGTTCCAAGCTTCATCCAACTCATGCTTCTTGGACGCACACCCAGAGTCAGAGACGTTAGCGATAACGTTTCAGGACGCCACGTACGTTCATATATATAATTTTCTGAAGTACAAGAGCCTGTTGATTGATGGACACATTTTACTGCTAAAGAAAGATGAACTGGTCAAGTGATCAGCAAAGTCCAGCGATAAGCCCCGTTTGACAGGGCTCCCGTGGCCTCCGGCTGCTGCACTGTCGGCCACCCACGAGCCGATAGGTGCCAACGGGAGCTGGAGCCGTGGGAGCCAGAAAAACGAGCTTCTCCGGCTCTGGTGGTGTCAGTGAGAGAGGAAAGAGAGGAGAGAAAAACGGCTCCGGTGAACAGTGCAGCGTCCTGTCGGCCACCCACGAGCCGATAGGTGAACAGTGCGGGAGTCGGAGCCCCGGAGCCACCGGAGGCCTTAAGCTACGATGGACGAATGATACGATGACTCTGCAAATCACTTGATTTGTCCCCAAGATAGCATTTGAGGACACGCATGACCGATTTTTTTACAATTTAGCTCTTTTTTTTAAGTTTCTCACAAATAGACCCCTGGCGGAAAGAATTCAGAAAATGGACCCGTAGCTCGGCGCCATTGATGCTGGCGCCGAGCTAGGTGCCAGCGTCTCTAGCGCCGAGCTCCTGGGCACGGTGGACGACCTGCCAGGGAGGGCGCCGAGCTCGGCGCCAGTCACTCTGGCGCCGACCCTTTAATACCTATTGGGCCCGCAGGCCTTTCCTCTCTTCCTCTCCCTCTCTCGCCCTAGCAGAGCAGAGCCGCCGCCGCCGCCCGCGCCACCGCGCCTGCTCCCACGCCCACGCTGCGCCACCGCCCTAGCCCCGAGGCCGCCCCGCGCCGCCCCCCCTCCCGCCCCGCGCCGTGCCGCGCCTCGGCGTGCAGGAGCGCTAGCCGCCGCGCCACACCGCCTCCGCCGCCCTCCACTGCTGTCCTCGCCTTATCCTCACCTTGGCCTCCACCATCGGCCTCGGCCGTGGCCCGCCTTACCGCCCTCCACCGCCGACGTGCCTCCCGCGCCCGTCGAGCCGGACTCGCCGCGCGGAGCCCCGCCGACCCCGCCACCTGCAGCGGCCGGCCGTACCCCCTCCGGCCTGGATCTTTGGCCTGACCCACGGCCATCGTCCGCCGGCCCGAAAAGGTAAAAATTATGAATATGCAATGTACCTATTTAGTTGGCATTTGTTAGTTATTAGTTAATATGATGACTCAGGTAGTTGATTTAGTTAGTGATCTAGTGAGATATATATGTAGATAGATAGAAACATAGATACATAGGTACATAGATATAGTTAGATATCTACTTAGATATGTAGTTATATTTTTAGTTAACTACATATGATCTAGCTATTTAGTGAGACACTGTAAATATATACATAGTTATTATCTTGATTACTTAGTTTGTAGTTAGAAAGTACTTGTTAGGTTCTATCTATCGTCTAATTTGGACTAAAGGACATGTGTTTCGTTACGTGTTTGAATTAGATGGACAACCTAGTGACCATATATCATAGAGGCACCGTTGAAAGCGATCACTATGGATATGTTGAGTTTCTTGACATGCAAAGCGTGCATGTGCTATTCAATAATAGGCCTTCATTTAGTGAGATGGTTCCAAAGGCTTGGGAGGAGCTGCATTGCCTTGGAGATGATGGCATTGCAGTTGATGGTGTACTGCACCTAATTTCTCCTCCGAACATCTTCAAGCGAATGATCTTAATTGGTTGTGCGGATCAGTGGGAGAACTATGTGAGATCGGCTATGAAGAGCCAGCTGCAATGTTTGGATGTGGTTGTGCGTCGGGTGTTAGTTGATCCCATCTCTCATGGGTTTACCCCTGCAATGGATCAGGCACACATCGACCCTCCCGTTCCGGAACCTTACCTGCATGTGCAGATTGCACCTACGGTACCCGATGTTCAATCTGCCCCCAATGCGGTATTTGGATATGGTTGTCAGACTCATGTTTCTGTGGTAGATCCTCCTTATGAGATCCCTTTGACACAGAATCATCCGAGTAAGTGTCTTAACCGCATGGTTTTTGGGAGCTTACCCCGTTCCTTACATCTATTTCTTTCATTCTTTCCTTATTTCTGTACTGATGTTGCAGGAGACATTCCTGAGAATGTGGATGTGGCCCCTGTTGCTGCGCAAGTGCACTTTGGAGATGGATTTCGTGGCTCCAATAGTGTTGAAATTATGCATGATTCGGAGCCATATGAGATGGCTAGGGCTCTTGATTCTGATGATGATCACCCTATTGGAGAGCTAACAGAAAGTGATGTTGAGATGATGAGACGTATCTTTTCTGGCCGCCGTAATCCTAGAGTTCACGAGTTCAGCGCTCTTGCTCATTCCGATCAGGCGTTTGCAGAAGGACGTGATGATGAGCTCCTAGAAGCTCCTGAGGCCGGTCCTAA